TAATTTTTAAAATGTGCTGTAACTACATTGGGAAGATCAGATGAGAGGAAGTGAGATAGTGGTATGAAAGAGCACTTAAATTACTTTGTCAATTTATTCTTTAAAATTAACACCATACTTATTCAGTCTGTATATTGAGCAACTAATCTGTATGAAGAAAACATGGCATCAGGATTGGAGGACGACTCATTAACAACCTGTGATATGCAGATGATACAACCTTGCTTGCTGAAAGCACAGAGGACTTAAAATGCTTACTGATAAAGTCAAAGACCATAGCCTTCGGTATGGGTATGGGTTGCATCTCAGTGTAAAGAAAACAAAATTCAGTACCACTGGACCAATAAGCAAAATTCTTAACAACAGAGAAAAGATTGACGGTGTCAAAGACTTCATTTTGCTTGGATCAACTATCAACACTCATGGAACCAGCAGTCAAGAAAGCAAAGGATGTACTGCATTAAGCAAATCTGCTGCACAAGGTATCTTTTAAAGTGTTCAAGAGCAAAGATACCAGCTTGAGGACTAAGGTGCACCTGTTATTTTCAAGAGCTTCATATGCATGTGCGAGTTGGACAGTAAATAAGGAAGATCATAGAAGAATTGATGCATTTGAGTTATGGTGTTGGAGAAGAATATTAAAAGTACCAAGAACTTCCAGAAGAACTAGCAAATCTGTGTTGGAAAAAGTACAACCTGAAAGCTCCTTAGAAGACAGGATGGCCAGAGTTCATCTCTCACACCTGGAGAAGGAGATCATGCTTGGTAAAGTAGAGGGTCAGCGAAAAAGAGAAAGATCCTTAAAGAGGTGGGTTGGTTCAGTGGCAGTAGTGATGGGCTCAAGCATAACAACAACAACAACAACAAAATTGGCACATCAAGACAGAGCAATATAAATGTATTATGAAGTTTAATAACAAAAGCAGCAACAACAACAACAAAAAAAAAACCACACAAACACACACACACACAAAAGCAGTAACATTTTGAATGTAAGTGGGTTCTTCTGAGGGCAGGACTGTTAAGTGCCATCAAGTTAGTTCTTACTTATCACAACTGTGTATAGGGTTTCCAAGTGGTAAGTTTGAACCATTCACCTTGTGGTTAAAAGTCCTATGCTTATCCTACAGTGCCATACCAGGGCTCCAAGAGGTACAAAAGAGTGGAGCTATTATTTTTTTTATATAACTTTAATACCAGTTGACTTATTAAACTGTGCATTATAATAAAAAAAAACTTACATTAAAAAAAAAAAGTGCTACCACCATTAAAATAAACACCAATTTAAAGATGTTGTTGTTGTATGCTGTGGAGTCGGTTCCGACTCATAGCGACCCTGTACAGGGTTTCCGAGGCTGTAAATCTTTACAGGAGCAGAAAGCCTCATCTTTCTCCTGCGGAGCAGTTGGTAGTTTCGAACTGCTGACCTTAAGGCTCTCAGCCCGATTCGTAACCACTACGCTACCAGAGCTCCTTTTAAAGATAAAGAGCTTCTTTAAAGATAAAGAAGAAATAATAGGTGTTTGGAAGAACATAAAGCATTTGTTTTTAGACATCTCTTTGTCTCTTGAGTTCTCTTTGCCAACACTGTTTTTGCAGATTTCAAAAGGCAGGGTCATAGGGAGGATGGCACCTGGAATGTTGTAGAAACAGTAAGACCTCAGCGTGATGCCCAGCTGTGCAAAGTGTCAGCTGTGAGACTTCTCTCTGACTTCAGTAGGCCTCAGGGTCTTCAGTTGTAAAGTGGAGAGTATCTATTTCATTACAATATATAACACGATTTACTCATCAAAACAACCTGCTGCCATCAAGTCAATTCCAACTTATAGCAACCTCTTATAGGGTTTCCAATACCAAATTTTTACAGGAACAGTCTCAACTTTCTCCTGAGGAGTGGGTGGTGGGTTTGAACCGCTGATCTTACAGTTAGCAGCCCAAAGCTAACCCGCAGAGCCACTTTGTTGTTGTTGTTAACTGCCATAGGGTCAGTTCCAACTCATAGCAACCCTGTATAGTTTCTGAGCAGTGGTTGATGGGTTTGAACTGCTAACCTCTAATGCCACACCTGGACTCCACAGCGCCACTTTTGTTGTTGTTGAGCACCATTGAGTTGGTTCCAACTCATAGCGGGTTTCCGAGTAGAAGCTGGTGTGTTTGAACTGTCAACCTTTTGCTAGTCAAACCACCTTACAGTCCAGTGCTTATCCTACAACACCACACCAGGACTCCACATTGCCACTAGGGCTCCTTATAACATAAATTGCTGCTGTTGTTGCTAACTGCCATCAAGTCGGTTCTGACTCATCGCCACCCTGTATAGGGTTTCAGAGGAGTGACTGATGGGTTTGAATGGCCAACTTTGCTGTTAGCAATCCAGTGCTTATTCTACAGTACCATACCAGGATAAAGTCCAAAGTAAATGAGCTGAAATCCCTACATTTTCACTTCTAAAGAGCCTTCTGGTTACATTTATTTTAAAATTGATTTTGTTGGGTTTTCTGGCAGTCCACAATATATTCAATATTCTTTGTCTACATCACAATTGTTGTGTTGTTCTGAAGTGCCGCCGAGTTGGTTCCGACCCATAGAGACCCTGTATAGGGTTTCCAAGGAGCAGCTGGTGAGCTTGAACTGTCGACCTTGCAGTTCAAACGGCTTTGCAGGTTGACGCATTAGCCCACAGTGCCACACCAGATTAGACAATATTAATTTATATAATGAATCATTTGGCCACAAATAAATAATATATGTAAGCCATCTGACATATGGTAAATTCTCCAAAATTATGACTTCTCCCTCTCTCTTAAAAGTTTTACGCTGTAGAGAAGAGCAGAGAACAGAACCCTACCCAGAGAGCAGTGATGCCAGGGATGGAGGCAGAGACGATGACATGGGAAGATGGAGCTGCTGGAGACTTTGGACCTGGAGAGAGAGAGAGGGGTGGTGTGTGGACGACAGGGGGGAAGGCTTGCGGAGTATACCCTTTGGTTGATCGATGATGCATGGAAGGGATTGCAACCATGGCAAGGAAACGATATACGACGGGATCAATGTGAAGCTGATGTCCTCCCATGTAAACTATCACATAATTCACAATAAAGCATTTTTTAAAAAGGTTTACGCTCTATAAGCATCTTTTTGAGAACCTCTTTCTATTTGCAAATTTAAGAAAACAAAGAAAAGCTGTGTTTCTCTGATCACCTTCTCTCCAACCTTTGCTGCCTGCTTTGGGAGATTCATTTTCCATAGACAAAACTTACTGAATCTGTGCCAGGCAGTTTATCACAATGTATTTCTACTACCCTTGAAAGGAGAAATCTAGTTTCACTCCTCTTGGCAACATTACACATCAGCTGATTTTTTAGTGACATGAAATTAATATTCTGTTATTAACCACGAGCACCTGTTATATGCCAGAAGTCCTGGTGTGGTGCTGTAGGATAAGCACTGGACTGCTAAGCAAAAGGTTGACAGTTCAAACTGCTACTGCTCAGAAACTCTATACAGGGTCACTATGAGTTGGGATTGACTCGACAGCACTTAACAATAACAACATGGCTCCCAATTCTAACTTATAGGAACCCATTGCATCTAATGAATTTTTTTTTAAGTTTTTATTGTGAATTGAGTGATAGTTTACATGGGAGAACATTAGTTTTACATGCATACTATCATATTTCATTTCACTGCAATGATTATAATCCTCTTCCTTGCATCATCATTCAACAATATTTGCTTCTATTCCCTCTGGGTTTTTCTTTTCTTTCTTTTTTTTTGCATGTACACCAACCAAAACACTCAGGAATATATAATCATTTAAACAACCAAAGGACATATTCTGCAAGCCTGCCTCTTGGCTGCCAGCACACAGCCTTTCTCTTTCCATGAGTCCAGAGTCCTCAGCTACAACCTCTCTCCATGTCATCATCTCTGCCTCCATCTCTGATGTCACTGCTTCGCTGGATAAGGTCCCACATTCTGCTTGTGCTCTTCTCCCTTGATGGTCCTAGGGTCTTCTGTTTCTGGACTATAAGATTAACTACTCCCCCTTTTTGTTACAAAACTTGTATCTTTACAGTTGTGACAATCACAATTAGTCGTGAGAACAATTACTATTGAATCATAAGAATTTTATCCCCATCTCCTTTCACCAGACCCATCTAGACAAGATGAAAACTATTCAGTGGGGATTCTACTTTGCCCTGCACACTCTGAAACTAAACTCCCTCTTGAAAAGCCAGTCACCTTCATGCCTTTATGGTCTCCCATTTAGGTAGCCAATGTTAAAGTTGCCCATCCCTATCAACCCTTGTACAGAGGATGGGGCATCTAATTAGTTTTGACTCATGAAATCCTATAGGACAAGGTAGAAGTGTCTCATTAGGTTTCCAAGGTTATACTCTCTATGGAAGCAAATGGCTACATGTTGCTCACTCAAAGTTGCTGTTGAATTTGAGCTGTCAACCTTTAGGCTAGCCACCAAGCACTTAACCACTCATCACCAGGGAATATAGGAGTAGATATAATTTTCTTTCTAAAATAAACTAACGCAACATTGGTGGTTCAAATTTACCAGCTGCTCCTTAGAAACTTTATACAGGGTCACTGAGTCAGAACTGATTCAACAGCACGTAACAGCAACTACAATAATAGAATAGAATAATAAATAATTCTGCTGATACCTGACTATAACCTTTAAAATTAAAGCTAACAAGGATGTTTAACCCAGCTATAAAGTGAACTGGCTTGGAAAGAGGGTCACAAAAACTGGGTAGGTTAAAAAGCAGTTGTTGTTGTTGTTAAGTGCCATTGAGTCGATTCCGACCCATAGCGACCCTGTATAGGGTTTCCAAGGAGCAGCTGGTGAGCTTGAACCACCAACCTTGCAGTTCAAACGACTTTACAGTCTGATGCATTAGCATACAGTGCCATACCAGGACTCCTGGAAAACAGTGGTCACCTCAAAATAAGAGACCCTGGTGTGATTGCAAAGCACTCACCTTCTTCACTTGGCATAGGTTGGCTATACTGCTCAGTGATAAGATGTTCTCTACATGTTTCCCTAGGTTGAATCCATTCACTCCCAGAACTCTGGTTGTTCCAGTAGGACTCCTGCCCCTCTGAGAAGGCAGTAGGCAACCTTTCAGGTCCTTCAGTAGGGAAATAAGTAGGGGACTTGAGGTCCAAGAGGAAGCTATCTTGTAGGGTTTGCTTGATGGCCTTCTTGCGTTTCTTCTTCTGACCTTCTGAGATCCCATCATCTTCTCCTCTTCTGGGCTGTCTACACTCAAGCTTTCTGTTTAACAGGAGGAGCTGATTCATGTCCTTGGTGAATTCTAGCAAAGTGCCTTCAGAGAGGCTTTGGGCAGCGCCCTCAGAACCATAGCTCGGAGTCTTCTCCGAGAGCAGATGCTCAGAGCACTGGAGAGCTTCCGTGTCTTCCCTGCGCTCTGGCTCAGGCACCTGGGCGAGGCTGCCCAGACTCATGGACAGGGAGAAGTAAGAGTAGTCCACTGCTATATATGTCAGCATAAAGTTGATGGTGACAATAGGGGCCAGGACATTCACCTGACCCACAAGGACAAAGGCCATGGTCACCAAGCTGGTAAGGCAGATGGCAGCTACTGGTGTTTTATTTGGTCCTTTCTGCAGAAACAAAAATAACATGCTGGACAATGACATTTCAGAAGCAAATCACATTATATGACAGAAACACAATTCATAATGGCTTAGTCTCTTCTCCCTACGTGGCCCAGGCATGTTAACTGCTTACCTATAAACTTGGAATAATAATATCCATGAGGTTAATGGCAGTATCAGAGCTAATCCATTTTAAGTGTTTGGCCCAGTACTGACACATAGTGGGCTCTTAACATACCAGAGGTTATTAGTTGTATTGCTATTAATATGGGGCCTCACTATTGAAAGTTGACTTCCCAAATATTTTCTTCTCTTGTCTTTCATTGGGTTCTAACACCAGCCTTGGAAATCAAAGAGGTGGAAAGTTGATTCTTCTCAGACTATATTGGAGAAAATGAACTTGAGGGGATGGGCAGACTTTGGAAAAGGCAGGGGTGGGGGAGTTCTGACACTAAACTTATACACGTGCATATGTAAAAATCATGCACACACACCTATTACTATAGAAGTAGGTGTGATGATCTTCAGGTGAACAGAAATGGAAAACAAAATCTGCCACTCCACAGTTACTAGCATCCTTGTTGGGCCAAAAGCAATAGTCCTTATCTTCTTTGCCATAAGAACATTTGATGAAGTTGGTCACTTCCTTCTCTTTAAAAGACTTTCTTCACCTGGCTTCTCTCAGTTCTCTTTCTACTCACTAACCGCTTCTTCTCAGTCTCCTCGCTGGTTTTTCCACATCTCAGAAGCCTACCTTTAAAGCTTCTCACAGAAGAGCCAGATGGTGTCTGGCTACCACTACTAACCATTCTGACTGGACAGAGTAGGAGAAAACTGGAGAACAAAATTCAAAATCCTAAAGAAGACCAGACTTAATAGACTAATGGAAACTAGTGGAACACTGAGATTATGACCCTTAGACACCCTCCAAATCTGGACCTGAACCCACCCCTGGGGATCACCTTTCAGTCAAACAATAGACCGGCTGATAAAGTGAAAAATAACACCCATGAGCAATGTACTCTTCAGAACAATCAACCATAGGAGACTAGAAGGGAAGCACTTGCCCACAAAGTTCAGAAGGCAGGAAGGGGCAAGAAAGAAGGACGAATAGAAGTAGGAACCCAGAGAAGTAGGAAGAATGCTATCATGCTGAAGAGATGTCAACCCATGTCACACACAAAAAAAATGTGTGTATAAATTGCTGAATGGGAAATTAATGTGTTCACTAAACATGTACCCAATTCACAATAAAATGTTCAAAAGGAATACCTAGGGATAGCACTATGAATGGAATTAATCCCACTGAATTGTATACTTAAAGTGGCTAAAATGATACATTTTATATTATACACACTTCACCACAATAAAATATTTATTTAGAAACAAGTAAATGAATAAAACATCCCAGGTGATCTCAATCAATGTTATGGCTTTAAATACCACCTGTATGCTCAAAATTCTAAAATTAGTCTAAAACATTCTCCTCAAATTCACACTGAAATAAACATTCACCTTCCTACTCAACATTTCCAAGTGATGTTTAATAGGGTCTCAAACTTATACCATGTTTTTCATATATGATGTGCATAGCATGTATAGGACACTAACGTATGAGGGTATTGCAGTTTGCAAAAAGTATATAATGCACATAGCATAAAAATTTATTAAATCCAACATCAAATTGCTAATCTCCCCTCTCACTTCTAATCCACTCTTTCTGTAGTCTTCTCATCTCAAAAAATGGCAAATATCTTGAAGCCTCTTCCCATTCCCCCATATCAGCAGAAAACATTGTCAGTCCTTCCTTCAGGATATATGAAGAATCTAACCGTTGCTCCACCTCCACTGTCAGCACTCTGGAAAGTAAGGGGCAGGCCTTCCAGATCTGCTATCTATCATACATGTTCCTTCAGGTGCACTCCCCTTATTGAGGGGTACAAAAGAAAGTAGCCTTAGAAGCTACAGTTGGAAGATGGCAAAGTCATCGTTATCTTGTCACTCTGAGGATCAGAGCACTTTATCAACTGGAAACACTCTAGAATTTTAGAGAAAAATAAATTTTGTTGTGTTTGAGGATTTCAGTTTTAGGTATATCTGTTACAGCTGTTTACCATACTAAACAATTCAATTACCAAGAATAGAGGCAAATCATCAGAAACTAAAAATAACTTAAAAGGAAGGTCCCAGGTGAGCTTTACAAACGAGTACTTATTCAAATATATAGAGATTTGATAGAGGATATCTGTACAAGAGTATTTACCTTTGCTGCAAGCACATCTATGAATGTGGTAGAGAATAGCCAAACCCAAACCCACGGCCATCAAGTTCATTCTGACTCATAGTGATCCATGTGAAGTTTTAAAGGCAATAAATCTTTTTTTTTGAGAAACTTTTTATTGTAAATTGAGTGAAGATTTACAGACAAGATCATCAGGTTTACATTCAACAAATCATACACTTTGTTTCATCTCAATGATTGCAATCCCCTCCCTGTAACAACAGTTGCCTGCTTCCTCCCTTTGGTTCCTATTTCCATTCCACCCTCCTTCCCATCCCTTCTCAATTTCCCATCCCTTCTCAACATTGTCTGTAAGTAAACGTTGGCCTGTTGATCTTGAATGGTTGTCCATTCCATGGTGAGCGTACCTTACTTGTGTTATTGTCCCCACTATATACTTATTTACTGCTTGGCTAAAAATTGGACCACAAGGGTGAGCACCATTCCAGACCTGAAATGTGAGTGAGGCCCACAGTCTTGGGTTCCTAATTGGAGTTACTAACTCCCAAGACTTCCTAACTCTTTCTGACCAGTAAGCCTGATCTTTTAAAAAAAAAAAAAAATTTTTTGAATTTAGTTCCATACTTTTTCCCACTCTATCTGGGAGTTTCTAATATGATCCCTTTCAGAGCAGCTGGTAATGGCAGCTGGGCACTATCTAGTTCTTCTGGCTTAGAGTCATGGAGATTTATGGTAAGTTGTCCCATTGATCCACTGGACTAGTTGACTCCAGGCATCTTCAGTTTTCATCATTCTTCTTTCTTCTGTACATGGAGAGACCAATAGTTGAACCGTAGATGGCCACTCATGACCTCCTAGAGTCCCAATTGCTACTGACTAAGTAGGATATAGAACACTGTCTTTGTGGATTATGTAATACCAATTGATCATGGTCCTGACTCTGCAGACCCAGAAACTCATTGCCTTAAGATGTTTGATAATGTCTAAGAAGTTCAGCAGTTCAAACATACCAGCTAATCCTTGGAAAACCTGTACAGAGTCACTGTGACTTGGAACTGACTCAACAGCACTTAACAACAACAACAATAACATACTCCACCATTGAGTTCTGGTGTGGTCCTGTAGTGTAAGCACTTGACTGCAAGATCTGTTTGAGCCCAAGGTCAGTGGTTCAAACTCAGCAGCTAAGCCTCGAAAACTCTATACAGGGTTACTATGAGTTGGAACCGACTTGACAGCACTTAGTTTGGATGGGCAAACTTCATCTCTCATACTTCAGACATATTGTCAGGAAGGACCAGTCGCTAGAGAAGGATATCATGTTTGGTAAGGTGGAGGGTCAGAAAAAAAAAAAAAAAAAAGGAAGACCCCCGGAAAGGTGGACTGGCAAAGTGGCAGCATCGATGGGCTCAAGCATGGCAACAATTCGTTATGTAGCGCATTGGGTTGCTATGAGTTGGTACTGATTCGATGGCACCTAACAACAACAACAAACAGTGCTCCACCACATTCATAGGTGTTTATAATACTTAAAGGTTTGTGTCAACTTCCTTTAAGAGTTGAGATGTGATTATCTCCATAGAGAGATTTAATACAATGTAAAGTTAACTCTATGATGATTGGCTATAAACAATGCCATTTAAATCTATGTATGACTGACTATGAACAGGCGTAGTTAACTATGATAATTGACTATGAGAAGCCAATCAACTGAAAGGATGTTTCCTCATGGGTGTGGCCTATTGTCAATATAATGTAGACAGAGGAAAGCTTGCTTGCTTTCTGCTGGTTCTGAATCTTGCAGATGGCTCATCCTCCAACCTCTGGTTCTTTGGACTTGAGTCAGTGGCCTGCTCTGTTTCCTGCCTGCCTGTCAGACTTGCCTGATGATCTTGGTTCATTAGATCCAGACTAGGTACTCTCCCACTTCTACAATTGTGAGCCATTTCCTTGATATAAATTTCTCTTTATATATACACATATAAGTTTCACTGGTTTTGCTCTTTTGGAAAACACAACCTAAGACAGTATGTTTGCAGCAAATATCTACAAATATCCTCTGTCAAACCCTTAGGATATACTCCCATTCTCCCTACCATACCTGTTCAGCCTGTGGATCATTCCTTATATCTATTCATAGAACACTGTTATTGTAGGGTTGTGTGTATAATCGTATTCACCTCTATCCCCTTTAACTCTTGCATTTCTCCCTGTGTCTTCACCTATCTTCATCATTCTTCTGCCAACCTTCTTCTTGTGTATGCCTTCCCTGTCACTTCTAGCCAGTGAAGGCAATAAATCTTTTAGGAAGTATAAAGTCTCATCTTTCTCCCTAGGAGCAGCTGGTGGGTTTGAACTGCCAACCTTGAGGTTAGCAATCCAGTACATATCCTACAGTATCACCAGAGTATAGTGGGAACAAAATTATGAACCCTTCTTAGACATTACCAATCACCTTGAGGGAATGAGTTGCTGGGTATGGGTGTTCAGAATTATAGTCTCAAGGATATAGTGGTCAAATAGCATAACATAGTCCACAAAGAAAATGTTTTACACTTTAGTTTGGCAAGTAGCAACTAGGATCTTAAAACCCATGTTTTTAAGTGCAACTATTGGTCTGTCCCTGTCTGAAGAAAAGAAGAGTGATGAAAATTGAAGATGCTTGAAAATAATTAGTTCAAAGAACTAATGGATCATGTGAACATCAATCTCCATGACCCTGTGACCAGAAGAACTAGATGGTGCTGGCTACCACTATCTACTG